CAGTGCCTAATTAGACACCTGAGGTGCATGCATAGGAGACCGGATCTCGTCGGAACCCACGAGATCCAGTTCCTTAAAGATTAATTCTATATCTACAACTAAATGTTATGAGTTTATAATGTAGAGAGCATCAGAAAGTCTTAATCCGTCACTGATGGGTAATCTGTCCCGGATATGTCGGGCCATAGGGCGCCCATTGGAGGCCTTTCATGCTTATCGTGAAAAAAGCCCCTCTTAATGCCCAATGGGTGGAAAGAGTCAAAAATAAAATAAAAGCTATGCATATCTAAAAATATAGTTATATTTTACTAAGAAAAATAGAAATCTCACAATATTTATATTAAAAATTGTGTTTTTTTAACTGAATACTTAAGTTACCATTGATTCTTAATTATTTTAGAACGAAAGGATAGATAATTTCTATGGTGTTACCTCATTTGTGTTAATTATTCATCAAAATAAATCTTTGTTTCTTTAAAAATTGATGATTTTATTAATTTTTCAATTTTTATAGCTGAAATTTTAATAATAGATTCATTTCACACATTTTACCTTATCATACGATTGTAATTTAATTAATATTTAAAACCACAATTGTTTTGGTATACCGTAAATATTAATATCACGTCCTAGCCAAAACCTCAGAAACCACAAATAACATATAAACTCAGTTTAATTAATTATGTGTACAGTACAACTATAGCCTAACGAGAGTAGTCGCATCGTTGTACTCAATGAGGAGAGAGGGGTTTACGCATTTTTAGTAATATTAGTGGTGTACAAATTTGTTCTTATAAATCTAATTACTAGTTTTATGAATAAATTATCAGTTATAAAATATTTGAATATTTTTAAAGTTAGTTCTTCAATATTAGGAGATATACTGTACACGTAATTGAAGGGGGAAGAAGTTTGCCAATAGCACTGTATGTACATCATCGTATACAATGGGGAGAGAGGGAATAGTTAAAAAGGGGCTCAAATTTATGGGTCATCCATTAATCAAAGTAATTAATGGATGACCCTTAGTATGTTTTTAAAATATATTGGAACGATGGAATTGCATTTATAAAATTCCATTTTCAGAGAACTGATAAGAAAAACTATAAAATCTCTTGTTGACGAAGAAAACTGTTACATTTTTTTAACTTTGAATATCTTACGATGCATAAAACATTGTTTAAAACGTTAAGATAGACAATAATAATTAATTTTCACAAATAGTTTTGCTGTTATAGAAACCAAGACTTCCAGAAAATGTCATTGAATAACAGCTCAAAATTATTTTTGTCAGCTGAAAATGTACGCAATTTAAGGCTATTAAAGTATTATATACAAAAGAACAAATTGTCCAAAAGTCGAGGATTGTCTGTACACATTAAAAATATAATTAACAATAAAAAAAATACGTCACGTCATGTGAAGAGGGAAAGAACTAAACACATATAATTAATATTTATATTTATTTACGATATCTTTATTAATTTGCATAAACTTTAATAATTTCTACCATTTTAATAATGAATAAACATTTTCGTTTTTATAATTATATTTTATTTCAGAATAAATCTTTACATTAATCGAGACAATGAATTATGATTACCATCTGCAAATTTAAAAATTTCATTTTCGGTTAAGGTCCGTAATAACTTTTTAATCGATTGACCTTCGTAAATTTTAACAATGCTCACTTACAAAAAATTTGTTTCCATTTTAAAAATAAAAAGAATTCCAAGAAGTATACTTGAAGAGTTCAAGGCTCTTCTTAATCCTTAAATAATTTATATTATAAATTCAACTGTTTTGTTATAAAATACGCATAATTAGCTACATTTTATTAATATTAAGCATTCTCTAAGTATATAATATTACAGAAATATGCGAGTATCTATTTTAATTTAGTCTCAAATAACCGAAATTGGTGTCAAGGCATAGAAATTCGAAAAGTAGGTTATGAAAAATAATAGTGTTTTGTATCTATTACAGTTTAAAAATTAAACATAAATTCGTTTAAAAATAAAAAAGAAACAAATTCTTATTTTAAGAATTGAACATAAATTAAAGCAAAGTGAATTGTCGTCCTTGCCTTTAATTATATTTGTCTAGCCTAATACTTTAACATCCTTGAATGATCGTCCGTGTGTTAAAGGAATGATTAATGAACTCCATAATCATTATTAATTTTTAGATATATTCAGTCGAGATTGATAAAAAAAAACAAGTTTTACTTATTGTTTTTATCTAAATTGAGAGTGTTGATTTATATAAATTAATATATAGTAGCAATTCCCGTTTTTGTATGTTAACAAGAAACACGTGTGCTAATGTGTAAAAGTACGAAAATATACGGAAGTCAAATAGTGTTGAAATACAAATTCCTATATGGAAAACACAAGGAAAACAACAAGATTATAAAGCAGACCTCCAACCTGGAGATATGATATAAGTAAGGAAAGTAACATAATTTATCTCTGACTTCTCCTAGAACTTCACAAGTTTCGAAACCTTTCTTTATATGTCATCAATTAACTATGCAAATATTACATAACGTTAACATTTAAAAAATAATATTTTGTCAAAATGCTATAGAAAATTTTTAAATGTCATCTTTATTTTTTTAATTAAAATTAAATTGTTGGATAATATTTATTTGCAATTTACCTAATTTATTGCTGAAACAATAGCCTACCCCTTCTGGGGCAAGGGATGAAATTCGGGTAAGCAACCCAAGGAATTTTTTATTAAGTTGGACCCCGTTCTTCACACTATAAAAGGATTATAAAATTTTCAAAATATTAGTAAAGGTTACATTAAATAACGAAGAAAGTAATATAATAGAAATAATATTCTATTTTAAAAGTCATCTTAAATATTGTTTCTAAAGATGACTTCCTAAGTCTTACTTTATTAATATACTGATGTGAGCGAAACAACAGTAGAAGGAAGTAAAATCGAAAACAAAGATTTAAAAATTCTACGTTACACTGATAATGTTGTAGATTTAACTGGAAAACAATCTACAGAAAGTAATACAACTCAACAAACTATTAAAAGATATTAACCTAAAAATCTCAACTTCTAGAAAAATGTTATGACAAAATCAAATACACTATCGAGATGTAAGTTGGAGTTTTAAGATTAAAATACTTCGGTTCAACGGGAAAAGGAGAATACAAGATGAAGTAACGCAACGAGCAGCTAAAGCAACAAAAATTAGAAACTGAAATGATCTCATTTGGAAAAATAAGTGGACTACTTACATACTGAAACTAAAACAAAGTAACAGCGGAAACAATGTAGAAGCAATAGGAGGTCATAATAGAGAAGAACAAAATGGAACGAGTATTTAGATAGAAGATATGAAAAACTAATATAAAATTAAAGTATAACAAGGAAATGATATAAGGATACTGTCCAGGAGTATGTCGATTTGGTCGCAATAGATAATACGTCTAATGCTTCAAAACTATTTTAATTTGTTATTTTGATAAGCAATTAATCATCTAAACAATTGTATCTCCGTTCAATTTTCCTAAAATTTTTTTCTAATATTTTATCGTTTATATATCTAGAGGACAATTGTTAACTTTCATTATTTCGTGTTTAGTTTTACTATGTTTATCTTATTTTTATTTTCTTTTATCTCTCATACCTTCTACTGATGAAATTATTAAATTAATTTAGCAGGGAAATATAATTTATATCATATCATGACTACTATTGATTAATGCTATTATTTATTATTTTTTAAGAAAAATTATTTGAGAATTTACAACATTGTGTGACTTAATTTCAATATTTTATATTAAGAAACAGAGTACTTTTCTGTTAGATTTTATTAAATTTTTCTGAATATTTTCCAATGCCTTGCGGTAATACCCTTGCTATTTTATTGTTTTACTTATTATTAAAATGCGCCTGTTTTTTTATACCGGTTACAGATCAAGTTTGTAAACGTAGTATCCAGTATATAAATAAATCGCACTGTTGTTGATTCCAATTATTTCCATTTCATTGGAAATGCCTCAGTATAGACTATTGAATGATGTGCATTTCCAAATGTTTGTAGAAGCTTTCGATAGTGATGAGGATGTTTTTGAGTATTTCATAATTCTGATATGAGCCTGAGACCTTATCGGAATGTCCAAAATATTTTATCAAAAGATCGAAAAATCAACGATACTAGTCTCTTATCAGCAGCCAGCATTATCTGAAATACCCAAGAGTTATACAATACGTCTGCAGTAGAATCAGCGAAGTAAAATTTTCATTTAAGCCATGTTTTCTTAGACTATTGAAAATAAAATAATAGAAATGAATATTAAACTCTTTCAAAGGTAGCTTCGTCGTTAATGTTCTTTCGGCCTTGCATTGTTGATGTGTAACATTTATTCAGAATTTGTAATTTTTGAAATTATAATTAAAGTATATTTTTTTATTCAAATATAGTGATCCTGTAAATTATAATTGGAATCTTTTTAAGTATCCCTACATTCCTTCTAAAATACTGGCTTAAACTTAGAACACTCTTGAATACAGTATATTTGGAATTTACAGTACTTAAAATGAAAATCCGGATAGGATCTGGTCCCAATTAGTCCGGATTTTCGACGCTTCACTGTATTTATATATATATAAATGTGTTCCTCTATTTTAAATAATAAAAAAAAATATTTTTAAGAATTTTAATAGCTTAGAGGAAACTTTACTTTATCCTTGAACATAGACTGTAATTATATTGTTTTATGGCATAAGCATTTATTTCATGTTATAAGCCATAATTCCTCGTACAATTAGCATATTATTTATACCATCAAGTAATTGTCATTGAATAGATATACATCTACATACAAAAATTATATATTGTTACAATAAATTTTATATAAAATTCTTATATTATTTATTAATAAGTTAATAATTAATTTATTGTTTGAGTCATAAATAATTTTATTTTGACAGTAATCAAAGATGCCAATCATATAATAATTTGTTTGTTATAGTGTTGGACGCATTGGGTAAACCATTAACAGGAACATTAATGGGTTCTGTTTCTTCATTCGGTTCCTATGACGAATGTCTCGACGTTATGGTTAATAACGAAAGAAGTGGAAAATATTTGTTCCAAGGACAATACTGTTCGTTAGAATTGCATCTTCCATTACCTCCCAAGCCTAGATATTATCGAATTCAAGAAACGTTAGATGCATTTGCAAATTTTAGCGTCGAAAAAGATACTGTAAGTATTAAATACTACAAATTAAATTCATTATTACCTGTTAATATTGACTAGGTTTAAGGAGTTTTTATTAGGAAAATAGAAAAATATAGACACGAAAAATTCTTTGAAAAATATTGTCCATAAAGAATGCACTTCATAAAATTCTTCTTTTTCGAATTATAAAATGAAACAGTTAAATTATCAGCATACTTTTAATAAAATTATATAAATTGTCCTATAGAGTAGGCTGTGGAGTTAATGATAGGGTGATTTTAATCGCTTTACTGTATAGTAATAAAGCATAACAGCAGGATCAACTACAGTATGTCTATATCTCATCTTGTAGTTCAAGTAACAGAGAAATACACCAGAAAAGTTCATTCTTTTATACTTGGATCATTCACTATACGTATGTATACTGGTACTTAGATGGGGCAAAATACAGTCTGCCATGAGACTGATAAAGGCTATAGATTTACTTATAATAGTTTTTCACCGGGGTGTCTGTATGTTTTTTTATAATATGCCAAGATTCACATTTTTGCAATAGGACCTTGACTCACCTCGTCTCTCTCGCTCTCCGACCTACCTACCGCCCATCCTACCAGCAGGAGGAGCTTACAAAATATTGGTATACTGCTGATAGGATCATTCTACTTACGCAGCGATCCTGCTGTTAGCGCCTACCAGCAGAATAGCTTGCTGTCAATTCTATCATTAGTGTAGCCTGAGTAATTTCATTGTTAGTAATAATACTTACTACGGAACAATTTCAATCTTAAGAAAGTTATTTAAAAAAAAAAGTATTAATAAATCTTAATTATACTATTTAATGTTCACTTAGGAAACTTTTTGTTAAGTGTTTTCTGTCTGTTAATAAAAGTTTAGAAATGTAATTTTTTTCATTTCCTGCTCGTAACTTAACTGTAGTTTTTTTTAATGTTGGAAATGTAAAATAAAATTCAGACATGGCAAATTATCAAAATTTCATAGCATATAATGGAAGCGATATATATTACGGTCGATTAAATGTAATAACATTTAAAAATTAATCTACATTTTGTCTATTAACGATGATTTCATAATTCAACTTTATATTAATAAGAGTGCAATTTGAAAAAATTGTTGACCTATAAATTTCCACTGTCGTCTGTCTGTTCATTTATTCATCTGTCTTTCCTTAATCTCCAGAATGGTATTAAATAAATGAAATTCAAGAGCAGATATGGAAACTTTAGAGATAGGAGGCCCCGATTAACTGTATATGACCTTCCAATGCGAAACGAAAGTCACGTTGTTTCGATTCAAAACTTCCCCTGGAAGATATTAGATAGATAACCGGCAGAACTCTATTGTTAAAGGAAAAGTACGATGTACAGGGGCAAGCGACTACAGTACTAATTTGCGGTGGAGAGCACATATTTTAAATGAAATTAATTAAAATATGATTAAAAATTTTACTAACAAATATAATTAAGAAAAATTAATTTATGCGTTATTAGAATAATAAATCATCATTTTATATAGATTATTATGTCGACATACTTATAAAAATATGTAAAGTATTCAATATTTTTATAAAATTTAAAATAATAAACTTTATATAAATATTTCAAGAACATTTTTTACGATCGAGTTTTTGTTACAAACCAGTCTATTATCATGAATCTTATTTTAAAAAAATATATATTTTGCAGTTAAACTTGATTACCTTGAATGTAGTCGGTGCTATCATTATTTAATTTAAATTCAATAACAATTTTAATTATTATTTACGAAAATCGAATTACACTTACAAAATTAACTCATTGTTTTCTGTTCATTTTAAAATAATTAAGTTAATTTAATTTATTTAATTAGATTTAACAGATTTTTTAAATCGAATTTCAGTAGAATATACTAGTTATATTTATACAATATATTTTCCCTGAATTTTTACGAGCCTCGTAAAGAAATGATTCTTATCTTACTGTAAATGTAATTTTATTTATTTGAAGTTTTTATATTCTGTAATTTATTGCTGTTATTAATATTTTGATAGATTCTTAGAGATATATCCAAAATTGCCCATTTATTTTATTCAATTCCCTTTCGTTTGGATCTCTGTATGCCATCAACATGTAGTAAAGATGATGTCGAAGAAATAATTCGAAGTTGTAAGTTTAATTTAATGTATTAGATGATTGAATTATCATATAAATGTTGTTATTTATTTATTTAATTATTTGTTTTAAGTTACAAGTGAATACGGTATAAGATCTGTGGTAAAAAGATGCGAGATCAAAGAAGAGTGGAGTGCAGATAATTATGAAATTGGAATTTTGTAAGTATTGACATTAAAAATTTCTTATAATTATTCATTAAATTTTTAATTGATAAATCTATTTTCAGCTGCGCTTTTGGAGTTATTCTTATAATTGTTATCTTAGGATCTTTATTGGAAATGTTTTACTTATGCTCAGGAAATTCTCATCAAGATTATGATGAAAGTATGCAGCGTTGTTTTTATCGTTTGTAATTAAGAAAAATATGTAAAATTAATAAACATTTTACATAAATTTCAGAGAGAACAGTTTCGAAAATTTTGCTTTGCTTTTCTATATATTCAAATTCCAGGAAGTTATTTAATACAGAAGTAAAAGAAGATAGATTATTAGTCATTCATGGACTGAAAGCTTTAACTCTCATGTGGATGATGTTTGCAAATGTCTATTTTGCTACAAACAGATTATGCTTTAGTAAGTGATTTTTAAATTAAATGCTTCTTCATTACACAGTGTGTCCTATAAGACTGAAAACAGAGCAATTATTTTGATATTTGTGTTACCCTTTTTCACGTAATGCTGTCTCTGAGTAAGAAGAAACGAATTCAATTTGGTTGGTATGGGTCCACACACAGCATGAAATTGCTAAATAGTACACAGCAGCAGTGTAGCTGTAGCCCGTTACGTACACAGCAGTGTACGTTAGTACACTGCAGCAGTGTAGCTGTAGCCCTTACGTACACAGCAGTGTAGATGCAGCCCGTTAAAGTCTGGCTAATTCTCGCTGATACCATGCCTCACTATCAAAATAATAAATTAATTTCTCTTCACTCAGTGCCTTGCTTTTCCCGTAAAAGATTAAACCAATGTTTTTGAACGGGGGCGATATGGCCCTCTTGTGGGCGTTTTTCCATGTTCAGGGGGGTGATTAGCAACAATTTATATTTTGGGGGACGAAAAACAATTTTTTGGGCGATATAGTAAAACATTATATTAAGAATAATTAGATATTTTATTCGTTATATCGTACAATAATTAAACTAATAACATTATACTAGTCACTAGTCTATTCTATGCAGTACGAATTTGGCGTTAGCCTTGTCACTCGGCATCGGAATTTTGTAGTGAAGGGGGCGATACTACGTTGAAGGGGCGACGATTCGTTAGAGGTTGAGAAACACTGGATTAAACAGAGAGCTACATAACGCCTGTTTACAAACTTATGGGACACTCCATATTCTCTTGTATAATGATAAAAAATCAAAGTCCATTAATGTTTGGTTTTAAATAATTTATAGAGCTAGGTATTTATTATATTAATGATTTTGTAAAGCAAACATAATAACGGGTTTTTTTGTTGTTTAATAGGGGTGACTTACTTTGTTCATTGTGCGTAGCTATGTGCCTTTTGTATAAAGAATGCCTTATGAAAATATTTGTATATATAAATAATTTAAATATGAATAATTTTGGTTTTGGATATGTTCCATTTAAGTTCAAGGTGTTCTTGATCTCTCCATCCATTTTTGAAATAGTCAAGTATATTTTGAATGATTTACAGGGTATAATTGAATAACTTATAAACATGAAGGACTCTTAATATAAAATATATATATATTATATTGTTAGTATTTTTATTATTATTGTATCGTTATCATTTAAAAAATTTTGAAAATTAATTAAAGAATTTCTGAAAATGTTAAGGTACTCTTCGACAAATGATCAAATTTCCTGACATTGAAATATTTCAAGTGCTTATAAATTTTTCTCTTTCTGTTGATAACCTCTTATTTTCCAGGTAAATTATTATTTTTTTTACATTTAAAACGATTAAAAATATATAAATATATCGCTAATTCTGTATTTATGTTTATAGTGGAGTAATTGTAGCGTATATGAGTTTAAGATCGGTAGAGAAATTTAATCAAAATTTTTCTATAATTCCCTTTTTGTTAAAAAGAATTTGGAGGTGAGTATTTCGGCATTTACACGTATATTTTAAAAACGTATTAATTAAAGCAATTGTTAGGACTCTGCCTTCTTTGATGCTACTTATTGGAATATCGATGCTGATACCAATGTTTGGATCGGGACCACTGTGGAAAGAAGTAATGAATCCTCATGTCGAAAATTGTAAAAATAATTGGTGGACAAATCTGCTTTTTATTAATAACTTCATCACCAAGCCTGACAAAACTGTAAGTAACATTAATGGGCATTCAATAGCCTAATTATATTTATAAAGTAAACCGATTTCATTATGAACTTATATCATTCTGAAAAATCTAAACTTTAGAGATTGTTAGCTAAATGAAATTCAATTCAATCAGTATTTCCTACTTTTTATTTACTGTAGCATACTTAATGATTCAAATGAGAAAAACATCTAATTTCTCTAGAAGCAATTGTATATTACTTAAATTAATTATAGTTTATTTTATGTTTAACAAAAATTGACAACGTCATATTGATTTTTCCTTTATTGTTTAGTGCTTTACAGATTCTGTATACTTTTCTGTGGACATTCAACTATATATCATTTCATTAATTGTATTTATACCTTTACACATCTTCAGGTAAATATTTAATAAAATTAATAATTTTATATGATATAAATTTATATAATTTAATAATTTCGCATAGTAAATATGATTATAAATAATAGAGAAAGGGTGGATGTTGATAAATTTTTAAAATATATGGTTAATGAAATGTTTAAAATTAATTTATCTGTCTCTAAATCATTAGATAGAACTAGATTTTATATAATTTAGCATAATTTAATGTTAATTTTAATAATTTAATGAATGTACTTGTTTATTTTTATATTCACTCTATCTAGGTATGTTTCACTGATATAGCGCATTGTATCAATAATATGTCAGGCGTTAGAAAGGCCTCGAAGTATTCGAATCCGGGTCATAACTGTACATGGGACTTTTGACAACTCAACTCAAATGGTACATGCGACCTTTGCAAATCTCGTGGTGCAAGGATTGTAACAGGATTCGAATCCGGGCTTTTATGCTTCCAGGCAGAATTCAGCGTGTATTTTATTACTAAATTCTCATTTCTTGATAGTCTCAATGTAAGGAAATGAGAATAGGGTTTTCGTATGTCATTTGCGCTATATAATGAATAAATTACGAAATTGGTAGTACTATAATTCGATTTTTTTCCATTACTAACTATTTTTGTTATGTTTAGATCCAACAAATGGGCCATGATATTTAATTTTCTTTTAATAATTGGATCAATAATATCAACAAGTGTTTTAACCCATGTCTACAAATTACCACCTACAATGCTATTTACATATTTGGATCCAGAGTAAGAGAGGAAAAAAATATACAAAATTACATAAATATTTATATATATTTTTTTACAGTAAATAATATTAAAGAATAATTATTTTAGAGATCTGAATGATGTTAAAGATAAAATTTTTCATAAACCCTATTGCCATATCGGAGCTTATTTTATTGGGATTGCAATGGGATGGTTTTTGTACAAAAATAAAGATGCAAAAATGAAAATGGTAAATATAAACTAATTACTTATAAAGTTCTAATAGATTTTTATTAAACGTGAATTGAATTTTTATAGTGGCAGCATATGATAGGATGGCCAATTTCTCTAGCTACCAGCATGGCCGTTCTATTTGGAGTTTACGAATGGAACAGGGGCAACGTTCCCAGCGATTCTGTGTCATCTTTATATGCTGGATTACATAGAAGCGTGTGGGCATTAACTTTAGCATGGTTTACAGCTGTTTGTTATTATGGTCAAGGAGGTAAAAACATTTTTCATCAGTTATATGGCCTCTGCTATTAAATTTCTTAAATAAAGTCTTTCTGTTTTTAGGTATTTTCAGGAAGTTGTTCACATGGAAAGCATTCGTGCCTCTTAGTAGATTAACTTTCGTATCATTCTTAATTCAGTATATTGTATTATTAATCATCTGTGGATTTTTGAGGGAGCGTATTCAACCTAATCATATCATTGCGGTTAGTTAATAATAATATTAATCTTTCTTTTTTTCACACATTATCAATGATAATTTGTTTTGTTTATTATTTATATAGTTCTTTCTTGCCTGTGGATTGTATTTGATCTCATACTTAGTAGCGTATGCGTGTTGGATACTCTTTGATGGACCAGTTCAATCTCTCAAAAAGATGTTTTTCGATTCCCAAGAATTGGAAACAAAGCATAAAGTTCATTTTATAAATGATCAATATTTAAACGAGAAAAATACGAAAAAATATGATTTATATAGAATTAATTCGGACGCTTAAAGTTTTTAATTATTACTTAATTTTAATAATAAAATCTTTGTAAAGTACTACATATCATTCTAAATGGCATTTTATTTTGTTGTACTGTATTTTATATTTATGTACAGATGAATCATTAGGAGTAAAACGATTTTGGGAGATGATATATTAAATAAAATTAAGCAATACAAAATTCTTTTTACAGAATTCATGAACTGAATTGTGCAATTTAGCTCATAGATCATGTTTATTGTAGCAATATCTTAAATCAAAAGTACAATTCTTTATACTTTTGATTTAAGATATTGCTTTCTGTATTTACTAATACGAAAAAATGTCTATTCTCCGTGGATTTCCGTTAAGAAAATTATATCTTTAATTAATCATTGTTCAAATTTATCTGTATCAGAGGTTCTTAAACCTTTTTTTGTGCCATAGATCTATTTGGAAATCTTTTGAAGCCTATGAATCTTCCTTCAGAGTAATGTTTTTAAAGGAACAACGTAATCTGTAATTAGATAATAATATAACGGGAAAGAATATGCTGTCTAATCGCATCACTTATCCGAAGTACAAATTTTTGTTTTTACATTTTTCCCTCTTCATTTCTTGAAGTTTCAAGAGTCCAAAAATGTAAAAATTGGGGAGGGGGTTATTTTGACCGATCGCCATCTGTTAAATTTTATATAACAGTCGCAGTTTGGGAAAGTAAAATATAATAGCCAATCATTGTTTCATATTATTTAAGGATCAATGTGTTGATTAGATTTCATTTATCTCCAGTTCGATAGACGTTTCATCTATCGAACTGATGCACTTTATTGTACAGTACTTGGTTGGCTATATGTTAATATGTTGATTACAAATAATAATAATAACTGTTCCTCAGATCAGACTTAAATTTAACATCATAAACGTAAATAATATTTATCAATTTATGCAAACTGTCCTTTGTCATCAATATTTACTTTCTTATCACATTTTTATTTATAGGAAAAATGTGGCAAGACTTGTTTGGAAGTCAAATTTAGACTTCCTTGAATATATAGGATAGGTTATTTAAAGTTATGCCTTTAAAGAAAGTATTTGTATTTTCAATTTAAGTATTTTCATGAATATGGAGGAGCTGGACTCAAAGCATTGGAGAGCCCCTTAGCATATTTTCCTAAGGCTCTAAAATTTCTAGTTATGCCACTGTTGCCTAAATTTATGATTGAAGGAAATACTAAATTTCAGGTTAGTGAGAATAAAGATGTACTTTTCCCCATTTAAATTCATAGATCAACTAAAATTAATGTATGGACATTCAAGGGATCCATGGATCTCAGGTTGAGTCTTCATCTACTGTATAAAGTAAATGTAAATCTTGTTTGAATTTCAGAGGGTAAACAAATCATAAAGTATAATTTTATTTTATAAATGATTGACATTTTGCTTGTATTCAATTATATTTTTGCTTGATTTTATCATTATCATCATCCCAAAGTTATTTTATTAATGCTATTAAAACACATTCAAAAACGTAAGTAACAATATAGAGCTGTATAAAAAATGAAATACCAATTAAAATATATGTATATTTAATTAAAACATTCAATATTCATATTTATATATATTGAATGTTTAAAAATTTTATAATTAATATTTTTAAATAATAATATTGTATATATATTTTACAACATTGTAGTTACTGTGGATATTCTACAGATAAATTATGTAAAAATATTAACAAATTGTGCCCAATTTTAATCAAGAAAATGTTTGTTTTAAATGTTTTACTAAAATATAGAATTGTTTTTATTATTTTACAATATAAATAAAGTTTATATAAATGTTTATAATATATTCTTGCACCTTTCAAATCTTACTCAATATTTATAAAGATGAAAATACACAATAGCCACCAACAAAATAAATATAATAAAATAAAATTTATTACAAACAACATACAATAAAAAGCTCATAAATAATATCTACTAAATTATACATATTTCTTATATTAAATTTATTCTAATTTTCTTTACTTTCAGAAACTATTTAGACACTTGTCAAATGTAATAAGAAAATGGTTATATACAAAATTTTCTTATTACATTTGAAAATAAATCAGTTCCATATTTTTAATTAATTAATTCAACAGTTTAAATTTTCTCTTTCTTTTCTTTATGAAATGATGCAAAGTTCCTTTATTTATTTTTATGTATATAAAAGGTGAAGTGTAAAGACTCCACTCAAAATAATTCACAGAGTTCATATTTGAAAGTAGTAAAGGAAATTGCAATATTTTATAGTTTTGTAATAAGATTTTGTACTTCAACTATTCAATGATGTAATTTTATTTTGAATTTCTTAATAAACAATTATTTGTTTATGTGTGTTTACATTGTTTTCATAAAATCTTTCTCTACATTATATATACTGTATATATAAATTTACATTGCAGAATAAGAATGAATATTTACAAATGAATAATCACTAATAATTCTAATATAATAAGAACTATATATATATAAATCATAATAATTCAAATGAAACATATATAATATACATCAAATATATTCTAACCTTTCCAAAAGTTATCGATCTCTGCACTCCTGGCATGACACCTGTACAAGTAAAAATCATTTCTATTTTATACTTTACTTTTTACTGAAATATTCGTTGTTTTAAACGTTTTTACGTTTTAAAAAATGATAATAGATGCTGTACGCAATTTAATATAATTGTGAGCAACGTAACGCTCACGAAGCTCACGAACAGGAGGAAGAGATCAATATTTTGGATGAAAAGTGGCACGTTTAAATATCTTTCATGCTTTTTACAATGACAGTATCCTTCATTTCTGTCTGGTCACCTTCGCTATGACCCCATTTATCGGCAAACTTCTGTATGAATAATTTTTCCAATCTCACAAATGGTGCTTCGAATATTAATGTATATACAAATGCTAATCCGAATGTTACACATAAATGGCCTAAAAACATGTATACCTAATTGGAAAAAACTTTTATATTATTTGCTTTCTTATAAAATTAAATATATTTTATAATACTTACCATAACATATTGGCTAAAGTGTATAGGAGATCTGGCATAGCTGACGTAAAGATACATCATCAATGGATGCAATAAATATGCCAAGTAACATAGACGACTTAACGGAACAAAGCATTTCCATGATAATATCTCGTTGATAATGCCTATAATTTAAATTTGTGTAATGTACAGTACACAGAATCGTAAAAATAAAACTTATTTAAAGAATTATCTTACCTCCATGGCCCGTAATGCATATTATGGTAACCCAAGCAATACATAACGTCCAAATTGGGCGGCATGTAGCAGCGTAGAGTAATGTTATGGGCAAAGAAGGCATGTAACCGGAATTCCACATTAATGTACCATATACGATAGTAACGCTAAGAATAATAGATACAGCCCATCCCAGAATTTGGCATATCTGTTTAAATTATTTAATATTAAAAATATGACTATTTTAGATAATTTTTTTATAAAAATACTCACTGTTTTAATAGTTAATTTGTTGTGTGTTACAAGTAAATATCCCGCTGCCATACCAATGCAATAAGAAGCAAAGTGTGTATAGGGTTTGTAACCGACCGTATCTAAAAAGTCATTTACATCTCTAAAACGTAAAAAATTGTCAATAAAATTATAAAATATCGGCACTATTGTAAATTATTTATAAATATGTCACCTTGGATCTGGAATAGAAAATAGCGAAACAGGAGGTTGTTTAAAAAATAAGGTTAAAGTACCAACAATAGCCATGGATAAAACTATCCCCCCTGCAATTAGTAATTTTCCAAGACTCGGTTTTCTGTAAATAAAACAATTAATAATGTTTTTTAGAATAATAATTATTATTTGATTTTATTAATTATCAAATGAAACATACTTGTAAAGTGTTAAGAATATGAGAGGTGATAGAAGATAGAACTGCATATCACACGATATATACCATCCGTGAGGAACACACTAGCAAAAATTAAAATCGCTTTTAATATATTGAACGAATATAAATTTAAAATCATTTAAATTTATATTTTGCTTACAGATTCGGAAGTTTTAATAATATTGCTAATGTATAATAGATTTGTCCACCAGTTTTTCTCGCAACCATCGACAAACGGTTTTAAAGTTTCCTGCCAAATTGGCCCAGATCCATAAATAGGTCCCATAATTATAAGGCCGGTAGCCAGCATAAATGCAGGAGTTAATCTAAAATTGAAATAAATTTAATTTCTCAAATTATTAATTGTTGCAATAATGAAAATAGCAATTACCTCCAGTATCTCCGGAAATAAAAATATATGATATTAAATCTTCCATTGCACTCTTGCATTTTTTGTAATGTTGTGTAGACAACCAGCAATCCGCTAAAATGAAATTCATTTATAATTTAATAATAATATTTTTAAATTAAGCAAATACTACGTATATTATTAAAATGCTAATAAAATTATTTTATAACATTAAATTTATTGTATGAAGTATAATTAACGCAGATAATAGGCTATATAAAGTCTATAATCTTCGAAATTATTATACGTAATTGCAATAAGTTAATAATTTATTTTATAGTAATTAAAATTTCATATTTTGTTTTATTTGAATAAAGATGCTAGGAAAATTTGAAATGATAATTGATCATCTTACACGTATACAAATTCATTTATAAATCATTTTTAATAAGAATTTCTTATGAAATATTTAATCAAATAATAATATTTTCACATTAAAGTAAATTAATTTTTAATTTTTTCAGGTCTTACTATAAAGAGATTTACTATTTAGTCCTGGTACTCATAATTATGAGGCCTCAAAACATTTTTTACAAATTAAACATTCCATTGCATTTTTCTTTGTCAAATGTTATTATTTTAAAAATATAGCACAATATTTTAATGCCGTTCTGTTTTTTTCAATATACCGGGGGGCCTAGAAAGGTAAAGAGACCCGGGCCTCTCTTGACCTCTGAGAAGTCCTAATTTCGCTTTATACGCGTAGATACAGATGTATTTACGACATAAAAAAATAAGGATAACATTACAAGTTTGTCAATTATTAATTATCAAAGAAAATTGTTATTTTGTTCCGAAATATTTATTAAATAAATTTTTAAAATAACGAAATAATTCTAAATACTTTTAATTCTTTGCTTAACCATAATTTTCCCTCGTCTATGAAAACAAACTCAACTTTTCTATTGTAACTAACCTGAGAAAGAAGAACGTATCAGCCGCAAATCCTGCATTAAGTACAACTTGAAACATGATTCCGTATCCTAGTTCTTTAACTTTTGACAAAGCAGCTTAAAAGAAATTTAACAATTATAAATTGTTTTAGTAACTTTAAAAGTGGAAGATTTAAATTTTACTTAATTTTAAGGTTAAATAATAATAATTAATAAGATAAACAAGATTTAATTGAAAATGTTATTATTATTATTTTTTTAATTTTTTTAAGAATCTTGTAAATTAGAACTTTTCCTTATTGTTTTAACTCTTCGACATCTATTTCCTAGTGTCTTGATGTTGTAAATTGTGTTTGGCGCTGCAATTTTCAGATTGCAGATACATTCCCACTGTCGTCCGTTCGTCTGTCCTTTGTTAATTCCAAGAACGGAGTTAAATAGATGAAAACCCGGCATTATGACGATATAACAATAATTTATTATATATTCTTTCGCCTGTGAAGGTATTTTTTTACATTCCAATGGTCAGAGATAGTCTTGTTTACCCACCAATATTCTTGCCTCTGTTCAAGAGTTTTACTGCATATGAGAATATTTCAAGAAATAAATTAAACTTACAAGACAATAGTAATTAGAATGTGTAAAACCTTACAACCGAATAAATAACTAGAGGAGAAGGTGGTATTATGTAATTGGGGTTCCCCCAATTACATTTTAGTGAATTGTAAACAAGGTAGCATAACTACACCTACATTTTTTGTGCGAAAAGTACTAGTAACTATTAAACTAAATGTTCCTAATTAGATTTTTCGCTAGTGTAACTATAAGTATGATTTTTGAAGGCTTTTGTACAAAAAGTCAGATAGTAGGCTTAGAGAAAATCGGGTGGTAATATGGAACCTTACTGTATACTTTCAAAAAATGCTTTAATGTAGCCAAAAACAAATAGGAAAGGACAAAAAATGTTAAATAATTACAAAATTATTTACTCCAATGTATTTTATCGCAAAAATGCTTTTATAATAGAAAAATATGACCTCCATCAACAATATATATTCCAGCAGCTCTTTTTCGATATTCTC